ATAGATACTCATATAAACACATTAGAATAAATGTAATAATTAAATTTCTCTGAAAGATGTTAATTGTCGCCCAACTGAAATCCAAATCTTTATTATTGACTTACAGCAACATTCTACACTGGAAAGCAAATATAAGAAACTTATCTCCAGTAGAGTGGTGTATCATCCGAATATCTGGGCCCTACCTCATATCGAAAGATTAAACTTTCCTAGTTATACTGCAATTAACTAGGTATGAAGTTATAATAAGTTGGAAGAAACATGGTTAATGGACTAATTTCAACTGCAAGTGATCCAAATTATATTGAATTTTGGAAATTTGCACAAACAAACAATTTTCCAAATTTACACAATTTTGCTGTCAGACATTGTTGTAGGTTTGGATCAACATAGGTTTGAAAAGAAATGTTGCCTATTATGAACATAATAAATTCAAAATTAGCTGATATGCACCAGAAACACCTAATTTTGTTAGCATCTTCAAGAACTAATCTCAATATAGGTGACTTGGTAATCAAAACCATATATTCAAAAACTGCATTAATTAAGTAATGACTGTTTAATAGTTACTTGGAATTAATTTTTTTTCAAATTATTCATTTTTATTTAATACATAACCCAACTGACTGAACCTTTAAAAATGTTTATTAACAATAAATCCCTAGTTTACACCTTTGTTATTTATTGCATTATTTTTTTTAATGTCCACTACTCAAATTTGCATAAAAAATGTGTTGTTTGAGTACAAATGCCATAATCAGCATATAAATACTATCTTTTTCACCTTTTTATATTTTTTTAGTATGCTGGAAAAGTTGAAAGTAACATGCATAACTTTTTTTTTTTTTCAGATAGTTGCACACTTCCCAAAAGGTTTGGCCACCATGTAAAACAAAAAACACAAGCATTGGAATTATTACATTTTGATAAACATTTGGATATATTGTTAATAAACATTATCATTCAAAAACTTGATCCAAAGTCTAGAACACAATTTGAAATGACTTTCATGTCAAATAACTTACAGAATTTGATGTATTTTGCAGTTTATTGAAAAGAGAAATCAGATGTTAGAAAGCTTATCATGAAGTATGCCATTTAGGCCGACCAGTGGCCGAGTGGTAAAAGATGATGAACACTGGTAGTTCAGTCCCAGGTTCCAGTTCAGGCAAATGGGCTGGCTGCATGGGCATTTTTGGGGTTTTACCCATGTGTAACGTGTATACGAGACAGTTTCCTTTAAAAAGACCTCCCCGGATCATCTCTCTTTTTCTGTGTAGTGCAAAGGGCGAAGCACATAATAAGTAAAAAAAAATGTATGGTCATTTAAGGGCTTAAGCAAATTCAGCTTATCAATAAAAATATCTCTAGTTCATTCAAATAACCTTCAAATAGTGCATTCCATATGCAAAATTTGCATTCAAAGAAATGAATCATAATGAAAGATTTGATGTTATACCCCTCTCGATGCAAAAAGCAGAGACTCCACTTCAATTGCTTATACTCCTCTCAATATCTAAATGTAGGTGAAAGATCACTTGTTTGATTTGTAAACTTAAACTTCATAACTTCTTGCACAGAGAATTGAGTAAAGATTGCCTGCCCACTTTGACTAAATTGGAAACATAAAAGATACAAACACCAAGGTATTGGACTCCCACTCAATTGTTAATAACCACAGTTAAAATAAAAATAGTTTAGCTATGCACTGCTATCACTGATATTCAAGATTTATTTCAACGTAGACATCCCAAGGTTGCAATAACAGCTGAATGTGCTAATTTACTGGAATTAAAAAAGCAAAAGACTTTTTCTCCTATTTCAGGAATTAATGGTTCCATTCCAAATATTAAAACAAAAATAAAAAGGTGAATTATCAAAGGGCAATTATAAATGGAATTTAGATTTTTTCAGTCATACCAAAAATAACCAATATTAGTCCGTCTAAATTAATGAACATTTCAGAAATAAAAATTCTTAACATTGTTTTAGAAGACCTTGAATTTTATAAACCCAAGAAAACGGATGTATTGCTTCAAGCCAAGTTATTTTTTTCAAGTTTATTAAAAGTGGAAAGATTTGCACTGAAGACAACAAATTGTAGCTTCAAAAATCTGTATTTGGTTATGCAGCATCAGGCTCAAGTTAACCTTCCAGTTCAGTAGAAAATATTTTATTTATTGATCGTAGTTACTAAACTGTGAAAGTATACATGTTAAACCAAACTTTTAAGTCTTTTTGTGAGTAGAAAATGTAGAAAGTTCAGCATATTTTATATATATATATATATATATCCTTCTTTTTTCCTAGAAGATGTTCACACTTCTGAGGTAATTAACTGATCGATAGTTGTGTTCTTCACAGAGTTTCACTGACATATACTCCTTTGTCTGAGAATACATTAAGTGAATAGCTATTGTAAATGAGTTATGGTTATCTTCAAACCAATTTCCAAACTACATTCTACCACTTTGCTTTCTGCTTTGTACACTGCATATTCATTTCGTACATCATTTTATAATTTGGTCACTTAAAAAGCATAGCTTCATAGAATGTGAATTTTTTGCATTTTCTATAGTTAGACAAAATACCATATTTTTGAAGAAATGTGACACTTTCTTTTATCAGCTAGCAAATTCTGCAGTCCCATTATGATTCGTTACTACAAAATCAAATGTATTCAATGTAAAAGAAATACTAATCTGAAAAATAACTATGCAGTTTCAAAAGTGTATATCCACATGCGGTGGAAATGCAGATAATTAAAAAATAACAAATTTCTTATGGGTGAAAATAATTTATTTAAATATTTGATACTAATTTATTTTCCCCGTGATACTAAAAACTGGAGGAAATCCCATCAACCTTATGTCATTCATTCCAGTAGAAGTTTGAAACCCCAGATCATTCTTTAGTTAGTTAGATGATCCAAGACTACTTTATATTCAACAATATAATCAACAGATACAAGCTATAAAAAATTTAATTAAATATGAGCTGAAGCTTTGAGATAACAAATTCATTAAAATTTAGGTCATCCATTCTGGTAGCCAGAATTCTTAAACAGTATTTGAAATAGCAACAAATAGTCATCTTACTTGTGAACTAAGCACAATATAGTAAATTCCCTTAAGTATTCATTGACATGGTATCACAGGATCATGTGGGGTTTTCCCCATACTAAACCATTATATTGAAAGCCACTCTTAATGTAATGAAAATGTGCATTGGTATAACAGTCTAGTGATTTTTAAATATACACCAATGACTGTTGCACTATGGAAAGGTAAGTCCAAAGTTATAATTATTCTACCTCCAAAATGCAAAACAAAATAGGCAAATGGCAGTCAACTTAAATTTGTCTTTATAAAAATAAAGCTGCCTTACTGAGTATTATGGTTACATAAAGCCAAACCAAAACCTTATAAAGGTGTGATGTTACACTCATCTTTTGGTGTTAAATTTAAGTATCTGAGGAATTTTTTGTTTGCTAAAAACGATTGATGGGAAGACATGTAAGCGCCAAATCTTTTAATATAATAAAATAATTATTTCAACTGGTTTAGTATCAGTAGTGAAAGTGATCATAAAATATACATAACACAAAATCAGTATGCAAATAAAGATAAGAGTATATAATTTTAAAATCGTATTATTTTTAACAGTGTATTATGATAAATACTACAAAGTAATTATTAGTAAACAAAAGTTTTACACGTACTAAATTATAAAATTTAACTACAGTTTAAAAATAATAATCGCTATCTCAGTAAAACAGATTCTGATTCGGATAAAAACTGTGTATTAATATACAAATATGTGAAGCAGTAATTAGAACCAAGAATTTACATTGACAATGAATTCTTTCATTGGGCATGAAAAGTATTAATTTGTATTTATATGAAAATTTAGAAGTAAACTCGAGATATAAAAACTTAATATAATAAATGTATAAAAAATAAATTATATTTTTTAAATGATGATAGGACAATATTTTGAGAGATACCAATGATAATTTAATAATCTGACTGAAAATCTGGCAAAATTAAATCTTTCATGATATTAGTATGAATATCTATTATTTCCTGGGTACAATTTTATATTGATTAAGCAGTTTACATAAAAAGCTTGGAGCTTAGACAATGGTTTAGTTCCTAGTTAAACTCAGAAATACTTTGTAACTTTTATTTATGCCTAATGACTTTTATTTATTGATAGCACATGTAGTAATTAAATTCATCGCTTTTCCCCATTTCTAATTTTATGAGTCTTGAAAATCAATAATTTTCGGAGTATAATAGAGAAAACAGTACTGAATTCAGAGAAATATGAATACTCATTTAATTTATGCAACATAAAAATTTTCATACATCAATCCAAAGATCCTTCGCTATGTTAATATTTATTCTGAAATTTTATAAACATTTTTAACAGTTAAACTTTAAAATTAAATAGAAAAGTGATTACATAAGCTATTACAAAACTATTTTATAAATAGGCCATTAAAAAAAGTAACATTTAAATTAAATAGAAAAATATCATAGAGGAATTTTATACAATAATATCATACATAATTTCCAGTTTAGATAAAATAGATATAAAGAGAATGATAACACACCTAATTTCCAGTTTAAAGTATATCTAAGCTAGAATGACATTCATTAAAACATACTCAAAATACCTAATTTCTCACTGATGAAAATAATTTATTTAAGTATTTGGTATTGGGTATTTTCCCAAAGACATTAAAAAAGAGGAAGAGATCCAATCAACTTATTGTTCTATATAATCAAAAATTGCTCTTTATATTAACTATATAATCAACAAACACAAGTTACGGATATAGCATATAAAAAATATAATTAAATATGAGCTCAAGCTTTGAGATTACATTATAAAAAAATGTCTTACAATTTACACCAATCATTGAGAAAACTATGCATAAAATATACGGCACTATAGAAAAGAAAAAATTTATACATAAAGAAAGTAAAACATACTGGTGGTCTATGCACTCGCCAATAAGCCTTCTCTTGACTATCTAAAACAATTTTATCCCCCTTCTTCTTGTCTTTAGCTAAACTAAAGGAAAAAGGATTTTGAAAATATTAATTTCTTACAAAAATTTGTATCTGTACACTATTTCATATCTTACGGTACAAAGTAAAGTAAATTTTAATACCATGCATACAAAATTGTACAGTTATATGCAAATCACGCTCATAATTAAAATCAATATTGAGTATGGAGGTCTTGGATATTTTGAATCCAAACAATCTGAATAAATAATTCTTTGCTTGGGTAGTAATTTGTGCATGCTTTATCAGCAACATTGTTCTTACAAATACCTAGAAATGCTAGTAGAAATTTACAGAGAAAGCCATCACAGTCATATATGATGAAGATAAGATATTTCTAAGGAACAATCAAGGCTTGAAATGGAAACAATGGAGGATAAATTTCATAAAAGTTACTATAAATAAAAAATTGAGGTATAAATTAAGGAGAAAAGATACTAAACAAAAATATATTAGCATGACCACATGAAAAAATGGGAGGAGTCAACACAAAACAGCTTTTGCTAATAACAAAAACTGTAGAAAGAAATACAGTAAATATTAATTAAGTTTAAATGTTTTTTGCCATCATACACATAACCACGCTGAATTAGTAAATAAATAATGTGTATATAGTTTAGGGTCTGTTAAGAAACAATTCCACAATTTTTTACTTATTTATTTATTTCTATGACTACGAAAAAGCATATGATGGCTATCTATCCGAAGAATAACTTTCTGAGAAAAATTAGCATTTATTTATATTACACCCAACATATATCATATCCAAGGATTCAAATATGGGTAAAGATACTAGTATTTGGCAGTCTTATCCATTGTGAAATTCCATAAACTGAAGCTGTAAATACATAAAATAATCTAAAATTCATCTGTACAAGAGCTCTTGAAAATGTACCCTACTAAGCTTTTATTAATTGAATTTATGACTTACACATTGCAAAGAATTTTTGCTACATGAATTCATCAAATAAATTTAGAGTTTAGAATAACACCTATATACTCATTTCCCAAACAGATAACTTAAGTTCTGAATTGTTCAAATAGTCTTTAAAAAAATGAGGATTTTTCTTTTTTCTGCTATATTATGATAACTACATACCATCATAAAAACTGCAAGATTAGCAGATAATGTTAACAATGTAATAATGTAAGTTGAACAATGCATGTTGTATATTATGTACGTCGAATGTTCTGATCCATTACGACTGCCAAAAATCATTATAACAAAGTGCAAAACTCATAATTAATTTTAGAATATAGTTAATGCACACATACAACAACGTTAATTCTAGTGTTATGAATTCTGTACTTAGATAATTAATTTTAGTGCAATTATGTGTGAAATTGTTATATTTTGCTGTCTAATGTAACATGAAACAAATTTTAAAAGAAAGCTATGCCTGAAAAGCAAGAATACAGTGTCAAATTACATTTAACATTGAGTAAATGGATATCTCAGTAACATGGCGAGATATCAGCAAGCTGACAAGGATTTTATTGCCAAATCTGGTACGAAATCACTAAAAGTCACCAAATTTGGCAGCATTTTAGTCTGGTCCCTGAATTACTGCAATACGTATTGAAACTGAATAAATGTAATAACCATTATGTTAGCTGTAACCGTAATTCCATACTCTTATTGCTTTTTAGTAATTTCAAGAAGCAGAAGGTATTAGAACTATCTCAGTGGACAGTTAAAAACTATAAAAGCCTGGAGAGAGAACACCTGAGTGTAGTTGCTTAGCTATTATTGTTGTGAGTTGTAATTCTATGCGAACTGAGATATATCCGGGCTAGCTTTCTGTTTAGGTGTGCTTTGCATTGTGTTGTGTTTAATGTTCTTAGCAGTTTGAAGTCTAACTACTGATTATACTGTATGATACTGTGAACACTCGTATGAATATTTCTGTGGAAAATTCCAGAGTTCTGAAATATTTCTTTTGATAAAAATAAAATTTTACTAACTTATTGAACTGATAACTTATTGAATTTATTGAACTTGTGCACCCTATCTATTACTAACCTCTATGCATGCAACACTATCAATCATTCCTACAATAAATTGCACAGCAAATTTTAAGAAGAAATTAGTTCCAGTTTAATTAGGATAGTAAAATATCTACCAGTACAAGGGACTCTATTAAGTAGTTTTCATATGAACCTAGACAAATCACTTACATGCCTGCTATACCTAGTATTCTACTTATCACTTTAATCTTCTGAATCAGAGGAAGTAAATAGTTTGCTCATCTAAGTAGTCTAAATTAATTCATTTTTATAATAATGAGAAGAGTCAAAAAGTTTAAGAAATTGAATGAATAAAGAAAATGTTATTACAGATGCAATGATGCTATCAATTTATATTTAGACATACACTTATTAATGGGTAGTTAAATTAGTATAATCAAGCAATGCAGTAGCAGCATACAGCAAGTGTGAACAAGAAGGTAGATGACTGCTTTTAAGGTTAACATCAAGAGTAAGTATTAGGAGCCTAATTTCTATTAAATTATGATAAAATACATTAAATTACCAGTAGGGCAAGAAGTAACTCACTTATAATTACAAAATGTTCAAGTAAAAATAACATAAAATTTAAATATTTGTAGACCAAATTTTTACTAGAGACAAAATGTATTCTTTGTATGCTCTGACTTTTAATTCTAGTTTAATTACTTTTTTGTATGCCATCCAATCAGTGTTTTTATTAACCATTTAGCAGTTCAAGAAATTAAAAAAGGCTAGTCTCCAAAATATGTGTGTGTGTCTTGTTTTTAATTTATGAAATTGTAAGAAAATTGCACTTATGGATAAACATGTGTAAACAATATAAGAAAATTGCACTTATGGATAAATATGGCTAAACAATCATTTATTCCCAAAAATTATGTATATATATATATATATATATAATCATAAAAATTATCATTACTCCTGTAACTTTTTTCTTGGTATGAATAGTAAACTTATTTTCCATAACCTGACATTTCGTATGTATTACACATCTTGAAATTTCTACATACAAGTTAATATTCCAACTCGGTATGACATATATTAAAACAGGGTACAATACAAAGTCCTACATTATAATCCTGGCAATAATATCCTAATTTTTTTCACAGTGACTGGTACTATTGTCAGAATCATTCATTTTCAGTTCACACAAAAATTTAATAATGTAAATTACATAAAATAAAACTTGAAAGCTTAGTTACTAGTCTTTCATATTTAGCTCCTAAACAAAGCTTCCACAAACTGTAATATATAGAACTCAAACAAAAGTGTACATTTCACAATGAATCAAAACACAAAAAGAAAATAGCCGATGTGTACACCAATTGATTTCCTTGAACAGAATATTAAATCACACACATTTTTCCTGCATTTCATTTAAACTTATATCCTTGAATTTTATTAGAGATATATTTCTCATTCAATTAATTCAGTTCTTATTTTGCAACAAGACAAAAATGCATAAAAACTCAAAATATTTTCATCAAAAATTGAAAGATGTAGAAAAACATAAAACACCAAATACAGTTAAAACAATTTAAAAACATTTTTTACAATTAAAATTACAGTTTCTAAGCAAAAACAAGCAATTCGGCCAGCGGCCAAAAAAGGCAGATTTTTCGGTGCACAAAACTAAAAGTTTCCTTTTGATCTCACTCGGCATAAAGACACTGAAGGTGCAGGAAGAATTAATTCACTATTTTGCTAAACTTCAAAGCAAATATGGCTGCTATAGTAAAAAATAAAAATAAAGAAATAGGCTTAGCCACACTTAAACAACTTTTAAATTGTTGATAATTCTACAAATATTGAATGCAGATTAAATAAAGATATAAAAACCTTAACCAAAATTAAAGAACAACATAATTCAATCACTTTTAAAGAAAAAAATGCACAATTCACCAACATATAAGAATTAAAAAAATTAAGCTCATTGAGCCGAGTAACAGAGCAGGTATATGCATATATATATTATATATATATGCATATACCCGCTCTGTTACTTATATATATATATATATATTGGTGTCGCCGATGGCAACCAAAAAGGGTCCTATATACGAAATTTCAATGCTCTGAGGGTACTCGTTTTTGAGTTACGTAGGATACATACATATAGACACCGCTAAAAATCTCTTCTGAATCCATTTTAAAACAGTTTTATAATTTGTTTGGAGAAAGAATTCTCTATTCTGTCCTTACGTAAAAGATGCATGCAAAAACATCATTAAATTGCATTCGATAGCAATCAAAATGGATATTTTTGTTGAAATATGGTACCTAGAATTTTTTGTGATTACAATACTTCCTTTACTTCACAAAAGGAAGTAGAAAAAATACGAAAAAGCTTGTTCTACAGATTACTAATGCCATTTATAAAACAAAAAAAAACTAGAATAAATTATGTAATAATAATAAAAGTGAGCTTTGATAATGTGATGGCCACGCCACATACGGCAAACCACTTAGGCACAAAAAGCGTTGCCCATGTAAGGTACGGCCAAAATTGCTAACTATTTAAAAGAAAGAAAATGAGCTTTGTTGAACAGAGACTATGATTGTCTTTAACATATTAAAAAAATTAGAAAAGTTAGAATAAAAGAGAAATTGGTATGTAGAATATTATTTTGGAATTAAAATTTACTACCTGATAATCTGTAACTGTCCCATCAGAGCCTAATCACATACAGAAATGTTTCTAAAATGCAATATTAATAAATGATGCCATTGCTGCATTATGTCCAACTGAATCAGCTAGTGCAATTTGAATAGCTTTATATTGCAGTGCAATGCTCCTACAATGATCATACTATTACAAATATATATTAATTTTATATAACTAATTCTTCGTTCAATAAGTCATGATGATTATATTTCTACCCTGTGCAGCTATAATTTAGTTATTATATAAGATTTATATAATTGGAATAATAAAAGATACTACAAAATAAGTGGATACTCATAACAACAACCACTCATTATAACAACCATTCCATCATAATGATTGGTAAAAAAGCTTCCAGTTGATTTTAGTACATTAAATCTATATTTGTTATAGTGGAAACTCATTACAGCTTCTTCTTCCTTTAGAATGCTAAAGGTCATTATTAAGAATCTCAAATTAGCAATAAAAGAGACTGCTTCAACATAAGGTACATAGAAACTATGTTTTTTTTTTTTTTTTTTTTCCAAACTGTACATATTTGTACAGTTTGTATATTTTACATAACTTTACACCCCTATGTTTAGACAGATAATGGGATAGTACACATATTTAAATGATATTTTATATTTCAGAGTACATGGGAAAGAAATACTCTGCCACATATGAATCTTAAATATAAAACAAATAAACGCCTAAAATAAAAAAGGATGAAAATACCTCTGAAAACACTTCATAAACATTGTAAAGTTTCTTACAGCCTTTCATTGCCTCATATTATCACATTAATCGCTCATAAGTAATGGGTCATCCAGAAACTTATGGAATTTTTCAAAGCATATAAGATTTTCATTTTCTTATAATATTTTGTTACTGCTGATAAGGAACCTTAATTGAAGTAAATGTTTAAATAAGATCTTTCCTGCTGGTGCTGCATAATTCTGGCATGTTGTTTTGGCATAATGTTTTCTTCAGTGCAATGCCAAGAATGGAGAACCCAAAAGTTCATTTTCTTCCTATTATGCTTTTTTATTTAAAAAAGAAGAAAATGTGCTAGTCAGAAAATGTGCTTTTAAAAAAGAAGAAAATTTGCATTAAATTTATACTAATATAAAGAAAAAGTGCTGTTTATGATGACACAATTCAAAGATGGTTTCAGTTTTAAGTGAAGAAATTTCAGCCTTGGAGAAGATGCCTGCTATGGATAACCATCCTCTATAATAACAAGAATTATAGAGAATTATTTTAAACAAGAATGTATTAAAAGAAGGCATTGTTATAAATCTAAGTTATATAGTTTCGGCATGCCAATTTTTGCTGAAAAAAAATAATGAAGCTCCTTTCTTGAAATGATTCATTACTGGAGATGAGAAGTGAATGTTATACAATAATACTATTGAAAAAAGACCATGAAATAAGTCTAAAGAACCTCCTTTGGTAACATTGAGAAGACTGATGCATCCATAAAATATAATGTTTTACGTATAGTGAGAATACAAAGGGACTGTGAACTATGAATTGCTGCCAACAAATCAGATAATAAATTTTAAACAATACTGTTCTCAAATGGTAGTTTTAAAAGTATAAATTGAAGCTCAGAATGTTGAATCATCAGGATGATATCTGCCATCATGACAAGGATTGGCCCCACATTTTGACAAATGTCAGACAAAAACTTATTGAATAGAATTGGAATGTTTTAGGTCACACACCATATTCACTAGACTACAACCTCAGATTCTCATCTCTTCAGCTCACTTTGAAATTCTCTGCACATCCTGGTGTTTGCTTGTTTAGAGATTTTCAAACAGCACTTCAATGATTTCTTTACTACTAAACCTAACTAACTTAAAAAAAAAAAGGAATTTTTCAGTTGTCGGACAGATGGCAAAAAGCCATAAGACAAAATGATGCTTATGTGAAATATTTTTATATTTTTTAAATGTTTGATATGTATTAATCATCGAAAACCCATCTAACTTTCCGAAAGATCCAATTTATAGCTCAGATAACTAGCTGTCTAATTGAATTAAAAGGACATGGAGAGGATGATTGTGAATAGCAAACAGCAAATAGGATAGCTTTCTTGAAATCCAGTACATGTTATGTTACCAATATAGCATTAAATTAATCATACATTTCAAGAATTTACCTGTACTAAACTTGAATGTTTAATAACTGTACAGTAGAATAATAGTTCAAAAACATAAATGTAATTATGAAGTAAAATGGAAATTAAAAATTCGACTTCAGCTTCACATTATGTGTCTAACAATGTAAAAAACAAATTACTTTAAATATAAAAGCTACAAGCAAGGCATTTTTCTTAAATTAAAATACTTACTTTACTTGTTCTTCTGCTTGTAGTGTAATAAAATCCCATTTGTGACAGAGCAGTTTCTTCAGGCGAGCCAAGGCCTCCTGAAGTAAAAAGAAAAGTGAAATATAAAGAGATATTACCAAAATATAAAAGGAATATTTTATTACATAGAAACAGTACTAACTTGTTCATATTCTTCCAAACTATGTTTCTGCTTGTTCTTCATAGACCTTTTCAATAAATATATAGCTGCAAACAAATAACACATGGAAATCTGCATTATTGAAAAATAAAACTACACATAAATTAATTCACTGTTCTTAAAAAAAAAAAAAAATGCACAAGATTCCCCATAAATCAATATACTTAATGCATAAAATTCATATCTACACACTGTTATATTTAGCATATAAGTATGAATTATAATAATGCATTAACTGATTTAGAAGATTGAGATCAAGTTATTTGTTTAATTTTTCTTTAACTTAAAAAAAAAAAAAATGCTATAAGATCAAATTGATAGCAATTTTTTAGTGTATATCAATAGAAATAATGTATTATTATACAAAATTAAAGTAAAAAATAATGTTAAAATCTAGTCCTTTTTGTATAATTTAGCAAAAGTGTTATCATCAGCTCAATCTGCAAGTAATTTTAAAAGTCTGAATATCAATTTCAAAATAGTAATAAAAAAATCTTTTTTTTTTACAAATAATGTAATCTTTGCATACATTAATTGATTTTTATCCTTCATTAAAATAAATAAATTTCTTAAATAACCTTATGAATGCTTAAAAGGCATGTACAGGTTAGTTAACTAGTTCAAAAAAAAATTTTTTTTTTCAAATTTTACTGTTAAATTTCAAACATAATGCAATTCATCTAGAATTATTTATTTAAGTGTTACAAAAAGGCCTAATAAGAATATCAATATTCAACTGATAAATCAAAATTTCAAAAGAATGATAACAGGTTCTGTGAGAAATAGCATTATTGGAAAAACAATTCTATAAATCACCTTTTATACAAATTAGTTTCACTTTGATTTAAATAAGTAAACCAAAATATATTAGTTTTGACTGACATATTTTAAAATGAGAAAAATATTGAAGGAGAATGTTTCAGAAAAAGAAGCTAAGTATAATTACATATACCTCATTGACAATAAATAATGCAGAAAATTTGTGATAAGACTTTCTGAAGAAAGTAAACTATTTCTCCTTTCCAGACAAATAAGCTACATTAAAACTAGTATCTTCTGTACAAACTAAACATTCCTAAAAATGTATGTTTGAAGTTGGAGAAATATATGAAAAGGTACAATACTCTCTAATCAAAACAACTACAAACTGCTAAGGATTACTATAGCCAGATTCACAATAAAATGCCACAAATTTTAGAGGTTCCCTGAGAGTCGAATATTTTTTGAAGGATTTCTTTCCCATTAATAAGTTAAGAAAAATTGTGCTGAGTACAACCAGTTCTTGAAGAATGAATTGTTATACATAAAATGTTACAGTTTTACACAAAATGCTTCTAAATGTTAACTGATGAAACAAATAATAATGAACACATAATAAATATCAGACAAAAAATATTGAAAAATCATGTATCTAATAATAAAAAGTGTGACATGACATAAATACTTTGTATCAAGAAAAGCAGAGTTTAAAAAGGTACAGTTTCTGCATTTATAAGACTGCTCAAAGGATAAAGTACAAAATTATCAGCGCTTCTTAAGTGTATTTTAAACTGCACTTGAGATTCCAAATACAGTTTAAATAAAGACAATGTCCCTCTGCCATTGTTGCCGATTTATCATTACTTAGAAGAGCCTTTGAATTACTTTGCATCATACTGTTATAGAATGTATGACTTTTCATCCATAAACAACAGCAACTGCTACTATTGCAATTATTCAATCAGTTAATTGGAGATTATATTCCAAATTCCTCATTTTTTTAATATATCCATAATCTGAAAGTGTGAAACACATATAATAGGTCATTTACTATCCTTTACACATGTTTGCACTGAACCTCTTATATCTAGATAACTCCAAAATGCAATACTTTTACTAATAGGAATTAAATATATAAAACTAATAATAAATTATATACATCAGATTATCTCCCAGAAAAATGCTAATTATTCAAAAGAAACCAAATCAGCATTTGCTAGATTAGTTTTTCTTAACATACACCAACAATTTCAAGGCAAAAATACCAGTATCTATTTCTTAACTCCCATTTTAAGATCTAGATAACTAATATACTAAAGAAAGTTAAATATTTAATTTAAATATAAGTTTTAATTTTACTGTTAAGGAAACTTTCACTTTTTTTAAAAATTATGTTTTATTATTTTTTTAGTGAGAGAATCTATTTACAACTTCGGGGGGAAATAGTTCCCTCCATTAGCTCAAATTATGTATGGAAATCCATCTGAATCAACTAATATCTTATTTACAAAACGATCTTATTAAAATTCTCCTTACATAATCTGTGTTATCAGGCTGATGATGTGATGGCCAGAAATACGGTGCCTAAAGAATTAAATGAGAAGATCATATATGCTCTACATTACATAATCCAAAAAACTATCGGAGTCAATAAAAAAAAAATTTTAAATACTCTCACATGTTTTTTATATTAGATACAATATCATGCCGAACAAATATTAATACAGAAGTCAAACAACAAAAATCAGCCTTATATTTTCAAATTTTCACAGGACTAGTTTTGATGTGGTTTTAAACCATATCCTCAGCTGCAAAAGCGCAAATGCTCAGTCCATTTGTGCTTTTGGAGCTGAAGATGATGGTTCAGTAAAACCATCGAATATAGTCCTGTGAAAATTTGAAAATATAACACTGATTTTTGTTGTTTGAGTTCTAAATTAGTAATTGTCGTTTGACTTCTAAATTAATGTTTTTCATAGTTAGATACAGAGTTAAGAAACTATACACAATGCTGGCCATTAAAAATGCTACACTGTAAAGGAAAGTAGTTAGCAGGATCACATTAGTTATACAAATATATAACAGAGAGATGAAATGATTAAAATTTCTGGTACTGTAAAGGTACACGATATGCAGAAATCTAATATCCATCAGTGGCAAAAACAGCAGCTTTTATACAATTGGCCATGGATTCGAACAGACTTTGGATGATATTTTAGGATACTAAAGTCCAGATGTTTTCACTTCTATGTCAAAATTCATCTGTTGTACTGACTAGCAAGTAATGCTTTGCCAGTCCCACTGTAATCATTAACCACATATTCTCAGTCACATATCTGTAGAATGTGCCATATAAAAGAGAAATTGAACATCCTATGACCTGAGAAAACACAAGATGAGAGCAACATGAAGTCTCAAACTACCATGTTAAAAGATGAGGCCTTCCTTAATTAAGAAGATAATAAATCAAAAGAGACTAAATGGGGAAAGCTTACTAAATGTTGCCCTGACATCTATTCAAAGAAAAAACATTTTAGTTGTTAGCCAAAAATTGTTTATATGTATGGAAAGATGAAAGCCGAAAATTCTCATTATCATAAATCAATAAAACTTTACATTTCATATGTATATACATTATCCAGATGTTGTCAAGAGGTGACAGCCAATCATTACATGATAAAAGAATATAGCCTTCTTCTGCTCATCAATGGGAACTTCTGTCGCATGAATTGCAACTAGAACCTGCATCAAAATTTTCAATGAATTATATAAGTTATAATTAAATGATTATGCAATTAAATGTGTAATAATAAGGGATTCATATTTCCTCCCAAATGGAACGGAGAGGGAAGCACTTATTAAGTTCGAAACTTTACATATTTTGTTAAGTTCACTGGTAGACAATTGCTAAGGACGGATGAACACTAGCAGCAATAGCAACCACAGAAGGAACCACAGACAGGAAAATATGAAAATTAGCATAATTGTAGGATACAATAAGACATGTTGTGTGTGTGCAAAATTTGGATTGCTGTTGTTTATCAAATGATAGTGCTGATAAGAGATTTGAAGGGTTTGGATGCCTACTGACTGTTGTTCAAAAGCAAAGCTTAACAGGAATGAATCAATTGACAAACTTGCAATTTTCAGTATGTCTTCCTGACATCACTTAGATGATTTTACACATGGATGATTGGCAAGATCAAAGAAAGACAAAAAATAACAGATGTTGCTAGGGAGTCCGATGTCAGCCACTTTGTTGTTTCAAGGCCTTGGAAATCATTTCAAACATATGGAATGTGTAGCAAACATCAAAGGGTAGGTCAAATTTTCAGTATGATACATGCAGAAAATAGGTATATAGTGCTATCGACAAAAAGGAACTTAAAAACAAATCTCCCGAAAAACTGCAGCCAGATGTTTGTCATGACTAGCACCCGTCCTCCTGTTGCCCACATTACATTGTCAAGACGTCACTATTCCTCCCCCCATTTGCAATAATGTCATCAACATCACAATAGAGAAGACACTGGGCTTCTGTACTATTTTCAGATGAGAGTAGGTTCAGTGTGTCACTGGATTGTAGACAACAGTTGATCTGGCATGAGAATGGTACTGTGCAATGGTCCAGCAAACATACAGGAAAGGGACCAATATGCTACATATAGTGTCATAGTGTGGACTGGGATCATAATCAACAGCTGTAATTTGCTCTATATGCTTCCAGCTGGGACTTTGACTGCCCAATGATACATTAATGATGTTGGCAGCAGAACACGTCCGTGGTGTTGTCAGTGATAAATTTGTTTTCATGGACAGCAATGTAACATGTCATCAAATAGTTGCTGTCCAAGAGTGTCTAGAGTGAGAGAAAGGATATTCAACGCCTTGTATGGCCAGCATGTTCTCCATATCTGAATCTCACTGAAAATGTTTGGGATGCTTTGGGAAGGAGTCTTGCTGGTTTTCCAATAAACAGACTCCCTCATCTATGCACTGACAGAGGAATGGGATAAATTATCCCAATAACTGCTGAATAATGTTGTGCAAAGCATGACACACTGTGTGGTACCTTGCATCATCCTTCATGGTAGCCATATCCCATACAGACATCTTTACTTCAACTGCTTGTGGATGGTAATTGCATTTTTTTCACTTTTCCATATTCATCACAAAATGATCATTTTGTCTGTTGAACACTTTATAATAAATAATTTCAAATTAACAATATAATAAATTACCTTTATGTCTTAATATTCTGGCATTATTTTATTTCACTTGGCATTCAGCCACACTTACTTTTTTACTCACTAAATAACCATTTGTGATTCATTCTTAACAACTGTCCATCTGTGTATTTATGTCGAGATCTATATATGTGCATGATTATTCCTGAATTTCAGTTACTTACACTGTATTATAACAGTTGCTAGATTGATGGCATAATGAAATTTACAATTAATCTAAGTTGAGATTTTTTTTTAGATTAATTTGGTATTCAAAATTATGTATAAAAAAGGTTCGCTCCCCTCCTTTCTGTTACACAGTACAGATATACATCATATTTTTAATATGCATTTCTTTTCAAAAAATTATTCCAAAATTATCAATTTTTCCAATCACACATAAAAAAGAACTTACTTGAAACCTATAGAGAGTACTGTCATCTCGGATGGCTAGAGACCTAGTATCGCCCACTGGGAAAAAGTAACCATGTTGGCACAACAGGTTGGCCAAATGAACCGCTTCTGCCAAAGGACACAAAGAGACTTTAAAGAAATAAATATGTTTGCTCAGTATTGGCAAAAGGAAAATATAAGCAAAAGAAATCTCTTGAGGAAAAATATAACTTAATTAAAACTTGGAAATGTACAAAGTAATAATTCAGATCAGAATGTAAAAATCCAGATGTCAAATTAAATTTTAAAATTTCACTAATCAATTCAAAGAGTATATTTTAAGAATTTATTAGATAAATTGATATTTAACTCATTGCAATTTCAACTATTTGAATATCAATATCTATTTCATTTTTCAAACAGATACTTAGCATACAAACTTTAAAGGGGAAAAGGAAAAGATAAAAAAAAAAAAAAATTAAGCCTCGTGTTGTTAAGTTACTGTACATTAAATATGTTTAAGCTCTCTTCTGTTTTTATAATTTTTTTGGAAAATGAATAAACATTAAAGAGTTAGTAAACTTATAAATAACTAATACTACTTTATGAACTAACACAAAATTAAAAAAAAAAAAAAAAAGGGCTGTTGTTTTTTAAACAAATATGAAATTTTTAGTGATATGTGTGAAATGTTAACACATGCTCATATATAATGTAACTAATTTTAATTCATAGCTTTATCACAAAGTTCATCAGTAAAAAATCTATCTAATAAGCTTCCTATATACTATGCAAAAGACATGCAAGCAGGTTAAAAACAGTATTTACCCAATTCTTCAATATTCAGATGGTCCATCAGCCATTCTACCAGATCATAGCCTAATAAATAAATAAAATATATAAAAAACAATGAGAAAAATTATTATGATAATTAAAGATGACAAAATTCTATTAAAATTATTAAAAGCGGGAAGTTAACATACAAGCTCATTTAATAATGATGGAAGTTTAATTTTGATCATTCTCTGATGAAAAACATAAATATAAATAATTAGAACACTTTTAAAATGAAGAACATTAGTATTCTTGCATCACAATAGCGCATCTTAAAAGATAATACACAGTACTTTTTATAAAAAGAATTGTAACTAGTTAAAATCAGAATTTTTTATTTTAGAAGTGTTTGGATAATTTTCCTGAAAACCACTTTTATTAGGGAATTTAGTACTGCATTGTTATAGCTATTAAAAACCTTCATTTCATGTTTTTACTGAATGTTGCATTCAGTTTCGCTTCCAGTTTAGTTGATTACAGCAAAACACACTCAGGTTATCTGCCTAAGGGAAGGGATGCCTTCGTGGATGACTTTCTATGGGAAACTGGATCGTATACTCATTACACATGAGAAAAAACATGAAAACATCCATGCAGCTAACCCGTTCACCTGGAAGCAAACCCAGCTCAGAACTGCCACTGTTCAGTGATTTTACCACTCACAGGCTGGTGGGCCGAATGTTATATTTTAAAGCACATTTTTAATAATGCACTTATAGATACTGAAAGTTTCCCTGTTATGCTTTTATTCTTCAAAGTTATATCCAAAAGCATATTTTTAACAATGCAGAAATGAGTTTTTCTTCAGATAGCCACAGAATAGCTAAAATATATGTATAAACAAACGTAAGGCGGGACTTTTAAGTTACAATCAATCAAATGTAAGGACTATTAAGCAATCTTTTCAAATGTTCATTTTCAGGTAATTTTTTTGATGTGGCTATAATTATTATTAGAAAGTTTTGCATCATAGTTTTATGCATATCTACTACAGTCAAAAGTCGTTAATTCGGACACCCATAATCCAGAATGATCTATAATCCGGACCTCAAGCTACAAACTTTCGCGCTAGCCTTGAGGTAGCATTCGCATCGCAACAGGGCGTTTACGAGAGCGCGTAGTGCGTAAGGACGCTTCGGTGCGAAATGTTTGGCGATGCGCTTTAATGTGTACGGAGGTATACGCTAGCTAAGTTATCTAATTCAGTATGTTGCAGATTGGTTGTCCTTAATCTCGAATGGATCCGGTTATATTTTGAGACTGTTAGAGCATTTTATAAACTAAGCTTGAACTTTCGATTATGTCAAAAGAATTTCCGTATATCTTATACAAACGAAGTATGTTTGAAACCGAAATCTGTTATCAATTTCACGCTGCTCTGCGGCAGAGGGGGGGGGCAGAAACGTCATTAGATTATGATAGATAGAAAGATTAGTCAATAGAATTTCGATATATTTTACTAATATGTATTTGTATCACAAGCGAAAGTTATGTTTGAAATCGAATCTGTTTTCAATTTCACGCCCGGATTGGAAGTGATCTGCAGCACTATCCTTATCTCAGGGCAGATGTTTTTTTTTTTGGTTATAATTCCTTACTAAAGTTGTATTCATCTCGATGTCCGTCTTTGATATGATTTAAATCAAATTCTCGTTTTTAATGCGCTTCCGATGTGAAGAAAGTGACCGGTTATTGAAAATGAAAACATTTCGATTGACAGTTAGCGGTATTCTCCACAGCAATTATAGGATTTGAACAGCGGAATTTGTAACTGAACAAGAAATTATGTCTGTTTATAGAATTAAAGAGAAAGTATTATCACATGAAACGAAGCAACTTACATTGAAGAAATGTTTAATAAATAAACAAATAAATTAAGCTTTTTTTTGTAAATTTTGATACCTTTAGATCATAATGTTCTTTATTTTATTACGGTTATATTTTCAATTTTATTAGATGCCATCTACCAAGATTTAAATGATGATCTATAATCCGAATCGCCGAAGTTCCGACGAGTGCGGATTAACGACTTTTGACTGTATATTAGTCATTGCAGACAGCAAAATGTGTTGCTATTTCCACTTTTGGGTTTTTCAAAAAAAATTTCTGAAATTTTTTTAGAACTTTAATTCTAATCTTTGGATATGGTAACGGTAGTTTGGCGACATTTTGTAAGGCATAAAGGTCTAGCAGGACTTTAGCAGTGACATGATATAGTCAGAGGTGCGCAATACCATTTTTGTCACTTCTGTGATGTTTTTTTAAGTGAAAATAGGTCGACGTGTACAGATGAGACCTGTGTTGCATTCGTAAAAACGCGGCAAGCAGTGGCGATTCGCATTTGTCCCAATTTCGCACCTATTTCGTCATGTTAAGCACTTTTGTCCATAAAAGTTCTAGCATAGCGTATTCGGCTAGAATTGTTGAAAGAATGTTGAGTTTTTTTTTTTTTTTAGCCTTTACTTCGCGAAAACCAAATGGCGACCAAACAAAAACTAGCAGGTTGCTGTAGCAGGGTTGGTCGCCAAAATTTTCGCTAAGTTACCATAATCCAAAGATTAACCCTTTTAATTTAAATAAGATAAACACAACATTTATTTCTTGAAAAGCGTTACAGATACGTTATTTGAAACAAATGCTACGCACCAATTCTGAATCATAGTTAATGATTAGAATTATATTTAATGATAAATATTAGCAATCATTCTCTGCCTGTATTAGTGTTTGTTACACTCTTCTGATATGTAGTCGTATCAGATTCAGATTTCTGCTTTTGAAATACTCTTAACAAATACATTAATTCTGAATCAAATTTTTAAGTAACAAAATTGTTCCATAATAATAACACACAGCGACATTTCAAAGTTCCCGCGCGAAAACGGGGGGCAGTCAGTCCTCATTTACTTGCTACAAAACAAATCATATGTCGCCAACTCTTGAAATACTTTGCCCATATTTTTCAATGTTTTCAGTACAATAGCATATGCGCAATACAAACATTAAGTTCTAACTAAAATTTGCTTACCTGAAGCTGAATAGTTACAGGTTGACTAAATTTATAAATTAATACGGCATTTGGGTTTTCATCCGCAGAGAAACCGTTGGCGCTTCGTGAAAGAACCCGTTGGCGCCGTTGCATTTTTACTCGCCAAGCTTGAGCGGAGACGTAAACGTGATTTTTAGGGCATGTAAATCCAAGTTAGCAGACAAAATAATACATTAAGCATACGGTA